GTTTGCAGGGTAAAACGAAGGGGTTCTTCTCAGTGCCATAGCATGAAGAACATCTCTTTAACTGCATTAAATATGTTTTAGGCTCAGCTGTCGGGGCACTGCAGATGACGTTGACGTCAACCGAATGAAGACCAAAATGCCAAGCATTCAAATCAGGTATATTTTTGTCAGGGTGTATTCATACATCTTTACCGTGGGATAACACCAAGTAACAGGCCCACTCCTTGCACCTCCAAGTAAATCAATTCGAGGGTCTCAGCCAATTAGCAGAAGGCGTCTCGGATTCGTTTGGAGGCAAATGAGATCGCATTACTAGCAGGTAGCATGCAAATTTGTCATTTCCACGGGACCCAGATGACTGCTTTTGCATTAGTTATGTTTTGTGGCGACTTTTCCGTTTCCTGCCTAAAAATAAAATGTGCAAAGCAGAACAAATCGGCAGAGAAGAAAGCCAGTGAGCCTCTGAGGATCTTTCATCCACTCTCACTATGGCGAATGCTTCGAATTTAACAAAGAAGCTGCCAATTCCTTCCTACTTGGAACAGATCGGAGACCATCAACAACCAACTGTCAATTCTTTTGAACTTCATCGGGCAGATACCTTTACCATAAAAGCCACCCAGTCGATTCCTTGAGAGCATTTCAAAACGTCATCTCCCAAAGGCGCCATCGCCGTGTGCAACTGATCGGACTACTTTGATTTCCTTGTCATTTTAACATGCCGGCATTGCACATAGTCAATGACTGGGTGATCTAGAATTTGTACATCAATGTTGCAAGATTGCACTAGTCTACCTACCTGGTTCTAGATCGTGATAATTGGAATCGGCATAATTCTTATAAAGACATGATTGTGGTTGCAAAAATGATTAGTCTAGTGGTATGTAAAGTTCATCTGAATAAGGCCTACCTCCAGAGGCCTCTTGAATCAGGGGTTTTGTGTTACAGCAATATAAAATATGTAGCCAACATGAAAAAGGAAAAATCTAAAGGAAAGAGTCGGATAAAAAACACCGATAAGGCCCAAAGGCAAGTCGACAAATCACAAATAACGTAGACAAAACGCCAACAGCATAATTATTGAGCAAGCCAACGAATACTAAGGCGAGCGAATTTTTCACAGCAAATATTTTAGCTACAAAACAACCGCATACACGATTAACAGTAGTAAGCAGTTCTCTACACTTATGCTCCAATGCTTCCTCATCGCAAGAGATGTGCTTTAGTTTCACGAAATAGGCAATTCTTGAAAATCCCGAAGCAGCACCATTAAACGCCAATATTGGATTACATTATTTTAATATAGAAGAGGATTCTACTAAATACACATCCCTAGTGCCCACAAGCAAATTCAACGTATACAAGTTGAATTTATCAAGCATTTATTGTGTCAAATTATTTGCGTAGATAGAAATCCACACCCCAGTCTCTGTTACCAATAAACCAAATGTAATACTTCTGGGTCTATTCTACGGCACTGAGACATAAGACGTAGGCCAAAATATTTTGTAGCATACAAATTGATGAAAAGGAAATGCAATGAAGCATGTTGTGAACGGAGCATGCAAATAACTACCATTAACGAAGCATTCGTCCACGAGCACCGATACACACGAAATTTAAACCTACCTTTTCGATATTTGACCTTAAGACAATAAAAATCTACATATAATATATGCAAAATTACTCTCCACAAACCAATTCTTATGCATCTTTTGCTACGCTACCTTCAAAATATTTCAAATCAATAGACATTGCATTTTATGTGCAATTGAGCCCTTGAATTCTCACTTGCCGTACTACTTAATACGAATAGGTTAGCACATACGCAGAATGCTGTAAATCTTATTTGCTTCCACAACTTGTGCTTGCAAACGAATGATTTTTGCAAAAACGAATATTTTAAACGTTAATCTCAGCATTTTAAATAAATGGTTTATCGTACGCTAAACCCTTTTTTCCATTTTTGCATGTTGAAGTAATGATGCTTTCCAATATGCCTGCATAAAATTTGAATTGATGCATATAAGAATTGCATGCTGTTTCGACAATGTACGTTCCCGAGAAGAAGGAAGAAGGAAGAAGACGCAATACTTGGGTAGAATGTATATAAATATATTTGTCACAGAGAGGGCATTTGGCTTCTGACATGGTCTTAAGGCCAACCCACCCGGCATGGTACAAAGGCCATGTTCAAAGTGGCTCCTCACCAAAACCGGCAGACAAACAACCATCGTATTGCAATAATATGCAGATCCTGCCATTGTTTTTTTACTAATACTATCATTCTACTCACTCTCGCTCTGATAAACTCACGTCTATGCGTTTAGTTCTTGCACTGCGCTTTTATCTACTTCGACTCGCATTAAAATTAGAACATATGGAGACTTTGAGGATGTTTACTCTGTGTTTCACCCCTCATCTTCGTAACAATCGGAACAGCATCTATCCCTTGCTTGTTGAAACACCTTTAAGCAGCGATCAATATGTTTACTTGCAATATTTATTAAGGCATTTTGGGTTGGAAAAGCCTGCGCAATGCGTGAGTTGGATTAAACTACCTCTCTAGTAGAGGCATAAAGTTTCAAACTTCACCTTATGTTAAGTTGTCTGATTGGCAAACGCTTCGGCGCTATTCTCTGGAGAGCCATTCTGGTTAGATCAGATTGGGTAAGTCAGCACCTTTACTGCAGAGTCGAGTTCCAGTGTTGAAGGTAAAAGTGGGAAAATGGATTAAAGACGAATGACACAAGAAGCAGGAGTAGTTGGTAACGGTGGCATCCGTTTCATAATAAGTGCAAGAATTATGCGTGGCAAATGAACGTTTAAGATAGAATGTCCTCCTCATGCTGTACATGAATGGATGGTAAGTTGCATTGTTCCATTTCTGAATGTCATCTCTCATATCAACGAGCTGTTGCTCGATGAACCACGAACATCCATTTAGTAAGCAATTGTGTAAGATTCAGCACAGGCAATTACGAGCACCGCCGGGTTAAACAGTCATTGTAATGTCTGAAGTTTCACAGCAAATGCTTAAAGGTAACAATCTACAGACGTGGTAGTGTGAAAGTTCGCCCCTCAATAGTCGTACATTATGATAAACGGTGTTTAATGGATGTGGGTGTTATAATGGCGTTGTTGGGTTGGTCCACATTCGCGCTTGCCCCTACTTACTTCTATTTCAGTAGCACGAATTTAAAGCGTCAGCCTATGCTACAAACAGTTAATTTGAACGTATTTGGCCTAGAATATCTCTACCAGTATTTAAAAGGTGACTTATCAGAGGGCAAGTGAAGTAATAAAAAAAAGGGATATTGTGTTTGCCAGGTGTCGGAATGCAGTTGAAAGCATATTCATGAAAGATAGCCACGCTAACCGCTGGCAGAAAACTAAAGAAAACTATGAAATCTCTGCAGGTATGTACAATGCAAATGAATCAAGGCTGCACCGTTTCCCTTTTCTTAGCCAGCCACTGAAGACTTATAGACAAGTGTCACAATTTTAGCTAAAACCAGAAGCATCTTGTGCTAACTACACCTCATGCGATTCTGCACACAAAAGGCTCCACTTTTAATAGGTTGAAGGTGATCAACAACATCATCCTCTTGTGCAAGAGTGCGCTATGAAAACAATTGCTCGTCTCTTACAGACATCTACTATGACCTCCGTTTTAGTTGCACATGGACACAAGATCAGTGAGTAGTGCTACCGAGTCACAATTGACGAAGCATTTTATTCCATTCAAGCTGTCAATAGGTGACAGTGAAGGAGAGGAGAAGAGGTGTAACAAAAAGTCAATCTAACAGGTTGTTGGATTGATGGGGCCTAATGTCGCAGCCGTAATCATGTAAGCTTTATTATTAGTTGCTGGTTGGAACAGCCAGCAAACTCGAAATGAATGTAAGGTTGCATTGAACTATTTAGCCGTACTTCTGAAGGGTGCAAG